TTTTAAGGCCTCCTAAGGCTTTACTATTATTTTACTTCTTGACTGAATTAATCCTGCATATCACTGCATTTCAATTTTACATTTCTATAGCTCTATTAAAATATATATGAAGACTGCTTCCTTATGGACAGCTAATGCTATTGAGCTTCACATCATGAAAAAAACAGTAGAAATATAAAACTTTGAATAATGTAATAATAAATCAGGTCACTGTGTTGCACCAGATGACACATCTTATGACAGCAATCCATTTGCCAGCCCCATCTATTTTTTTTAGTCGAAATAAATAATAATAGTCTAATTTGATGTGTTGTTTGTCATCTTCACTCCAATAAACTGATTAATTCTGCCATATATGTTAATAAAGAAACACAGCTGTTGTTGCTGTGAGAGTCAGAATAATGCCAAAGGTTACATAGGGTTACCAGGTCATTTATATCTGCTAAATGCCAGAATAATGATATGGTTTATTTCAACAACTTTTCTAAAACTACATAAGTTAAGGTCAAATTATATATACAGTAGGATTGCAATAATTTACTAAAATGGTAAAACTCACATGATGATGTTATAACCTGTATGCTTTTGATTGATTATGCCTTTGCAGTAGTTTGTCATGGTTTTGGTTCTGTTTAGGTTTTCTTTTTGAGTTTTAATTGGTTTAATTTTCATTTTGTGTTATTGCAGTTGTTTTTGTTTTTTCCTGTTTACCCTCCGTTGCCCCCTTGTGTCAGCTCCCTTATAGATGCTTCCATCCACACCTGTTCCTCGTCTGCTGATAAACCCAGTCTTTGTTCAGTCTCCCATTTATACTCCTCCTCTTCAGTCACTGTTAGGTGCTTCCTCGTCATTTCTTATGTGTATCTTCCCTGAAGTCTTCTGGTTTTTGTTTTTCTTTATTTTGATATTTTTGGAGATTTGCCTCAGTTCCCACCTTTTGGATTTTTCAATTAGCAAGAAACCACTTCAGTCTCTGCATTTGGGTCCTCTTCAAACCTCCACATAACCTGACATAGCTAGATAGAGGCACACCTGTAGATGTAATTTAAGACAACACTTGAAACACTATGCTATTCTGTGTGACATCATAGGAAAATCAAAAGAAACCAACCAAGATATCAGAGAGAGCATTGTGGACGACAAGTCTGGTTCATGTTTAATACAATTTACAGATGCTCAAAAAAAGCCACTTTCTTCAGTTCAAGCACTTACACAAAGTCTTAACACTAGGAAAATGTCCCATCATAATATTTTTCAGACAATTTGGGTTGCGTGTTTATCAGCCCCAGAACATAAAAAAAAGATTTGGCTAAGGAGATGCAGGCTGACACTAAAAAAAAAATACTGTTAACCTATGGAGTCACAATACATGATCTGATAAGACAAAAGCTGAAGCGTATTGGCATACTGATGGAGGAAATAAAGAAATTATGCTGAAAAGAATATATCAACTGCTAAGTTGCATGATGTCAACTTCATTTTGTGTGTATTGTTTTCTGCAGGAGATACCGGGTGCACTTTGCAAAATAGTGCATCGTGAGGAAAAGACATATTTTGGAAGCCCTGAAGCAGTAGTCCAAGACACCAGTGAGGAAGTTAAAGCTTGAAAGTTTTATCATCCAAAAGAACCATGACCCAAAGCATACCTCCAGATTAGCAGTGAATCAATTTTAGGACCATAGAGTGTGTGTATTGAAGTGACCATCACAGAGCTCTGATCTCAGTCTCTAAGGACATTTGTGGGCAGAGCTGGAAAGTAAAGTGGCCTAAAGACCTGTCTCTGTAACAGCAAATTGGCCCGAGGTATGATCCACAATTCCTGAAACTACTTAAAACCCAACCTAGAGTTTATTCCATAAATACTAAACATATGTGTACAAACTTCTAAATTTTAATACAGGAGTTGATTGAAAAAAAGCATTTTGCAAATATAAATGATGTTTCTTATCATAACTAAGTTAAAAAAAGAGACATTTTATCTGAGTGTTTATTAGACTGTAGAAGTAACAAGTTGATGTCTTTTAAATATACAGTAAATAATTCATTATTAAGAAAAGAAATAATTTATACATATCTTGCCATGGTATTTAATTTGTGTTTGCCTTTATTGTCTTAGGCGCCATAAAGTCAAACTGCAAATTTCATTCAGTATGATAACAGATATTTTTTAATAAAAAAGGATATATTTGCTCCCTACAGTTGAACTAAGGTCTATTTCCTCTCTGTTTTAAGTCTGAAATGTTTGGTTATCTTTTTTGCCAAAAGATAAATTGTTATTTGGGAGAAGGTGCTGAATTTCATTATTTGCTCAACAGTGCTGAGTAGAAATAATAAAAAAAAAAGAAGAAGCATGATTAAATATTTCATGCAGCTACACACGTGTTAGGTGATTTTTAGTTGAGTGACTTCAGCTGTTACTTTGACTTACCGGTACTAAAAAATCTGAACTAATTAATGATGTTGGTCCATGAAGGGTGTAGTTAATGTAAACGTGTTAGATTTTGGTTCACAGCTTGTTTCTATTCCTTTATTCAAGTAATTCAATAGATACTTTAACATATATTACAGCACTTTTGTTAGCAACGTATGCTTTATTACAAACTCCCTAAGTTCTGTGCAAGAAATATGTCCTTGCATTTCAAACAGCAACATTATGCTCAACGAAAAAAGAACAAAAAAACTTAAGCAAGATCCTTTCACAAAGCTTCAGCAATAAACCAAAAGAGGAACAAGGGAAAAGATGAATTTCTTGAAGATAAAGGTGATAATGCTGTTCAAGAAAAATGACTAAAATGCTATTTTTAGTTCTGAGGTGATAGTGAGAGAGAAACAGGAGACTGGATTTACCTCAGTATGTGCTGAATAATCACTGCTTCCTAATTTCAGGGCCAAATCTGGGACTGCAGCTTTAACTTTGTGCAGATGTATGTATATATACCTTCTGATTCATATTAATACGAAAAGCATGCTTGATTTTTCTAATGTTGAAGATTAAATGCTAGTTCTTTCAGAAAATCATGCCATACCTAAAAAAGGCTACTCCACATTCTCATCGCCTTGACTTTACCACAGAGATGTGTGCTTGGTCCATTTAGAAGAGCACCCCTTACAAACTCACCACTTTTTGAATGCCTCAAGTACCAAGTAGCGTGTATTCACAGAGCAACACATGAAAGTTTGAAAGTTATATAATTAAATATAAAAAAAAACACATTACAGAGACGTTTTGTAAGTTTTTGCTGATATCTTTAAAATAGTCTTTATATTGGAGCCTCATTATTTGATGAGCAGACTGACACAACAGTAGTTCAGCACCTATACATCTAGCATTTTTTCCCTGAATATACTTCTGGTTGGAACTTCCCGCACTGTTCGGCGGATTTTACTTTCACAAGAGGAGCAGTACGGTTATCGCCATAGTGTCCTACTTGATTTATGCATATAAATAGCTTTATTATAATTATGCAGAGAGTTTTACAGATTATTTGGACACTGCAATGCACGTAGAACAGGAAAGAAAAAACAGAAAAAAATGAGAAAAGATGCAAGAAAGAGGAGATAAAAGGGATAAAAAGGGATAAAAGGGATTTTCAGTATGCTTCATCACCTGCAAAGATGTAAAAGAACAGAACAACCAACGTGTTACAAGACATACAATAAAGTAATACCTAGATACTATCGCTGAAATATAAATAGTATTATGTAATCTGACATGTATTCTGTGTTACCTGAAGACAAAAATATGGGCTGTATGGAAGGGAATCTTTCAGTACCTGGAACCAAGCACCTGCAGTTGTTTGTGAGAGTGCACTTTGGCAATTGAATGGATTGTGTGGATACTCAGAAGTGACTGGCATCCAGTTCAACTCAGACACCAATGACAACTCCATGTAAAGTAAAAAAAAAAAAAGAACAATAAATTAAAACCAGACTGAACAGTGCTCCATTAGATATGAAAAGCTTGTGAGGTTATTTCATATCCAAACCCTGCTTTAAACGTCTCCTCTACTGTCTTTCCTGGCTGGTTGCTTTATTCCCTGGTCTTTATGATATTTTAGTTTTCCAAAATTCCCGAACAATCCTCCGAGAGCTTCAGAGAATATCTGTATTTAGTAATTGAACTGGTAGACTTAATTGATCAATTGGATGACTTATAAAAGGCTTTGAATACACTGGATTTTTAAGGAGATTTTGAATAATGATGGATAAACAAAAATCTATTTCATATTTTTTAGATTTTTAACAGCAAAGAAAACCTGATGTATAACTTTCCTGTATACTTATCATCATCATCATCATCATCATCATCATCATCATCATCATCATCATCATCATCATCATCATCATCATCATCATCATCATCATAACCTAGTGTGTGTTGGTCTTCCTCATTTAACACCAGTGATACACAAGTTTAAAGGGCAATGTGAAAAAGTTATTGGGAAATTAACATGTCAAGGCACTGTAATTAGTTAACATACTCGGCAAAAGGAACCTCTGAAAAAAAAAAACCCCAAAGAACTCACCAAAAAATATGTAGCCTACAAACCATGACCTTTGAGTTTATTATTGCTTGACAAGTTTTATGGATCCTGCTGACATGATTATTTACATCTCACTGAAACACGTATACAGATTATTTAGTATCCCTGATTCATTATTATTGACTCTTTACATTTATTTCATATTTTATTAATTTACTGTTGGTAGTTCAATATGGTACTCAAACTGTGCAACCAAACAATCAAATACCAGATGAATTTGTTAGTTGAAAATGTAAAAAAAAACTTAAGGAGGAATTAATATATTTCTAGGCCCTGTAATTACTCTGCATATTTGAACTTTTTCTTTTTCCAATAGAGCTCCACTCTATTATAGATGACCTGTTTTCCCTCTTTAGGAAAATTGATCAGCTTTAATCGTGAGACTTGTTCATCTCTTTCAGTTACTTCCTAATCCATCATGTTTACTGTAGGACCGTTTCGTTTCGAAGGCCTTACCTGCTGGGGACTCTCTGTGATTTTCCTCATCAGAGTCAGCAAATACTTCTGCCAGCTCTTGGTCAGACATGTCAGTCAGCTCCGTCAGGTCCAGCAGGTCAAAGTGGACCTCCAGAGATGACACACTGCTCAGAGGTTCTGTTGGGAACCAGGACAAAACCAACATGCCTTTAGACAAATAAAGGTATTAAAAGTAGAAAGGTTATTAAAAAGAAATGTTAGCTGATTTCTTTCACATTCTGGGTAAACACCCTCTAAATAATTCCCAGTAGATTTGTTGAATCTCTCCTTTGTTTCAGCCTTACGCCTGTGTTTGTGACTAAAAACTGGAAATAAGGAGCCGGAAGAGATGAAAATAGCAACATCTTTAATATGCCACTACATCATTTTTCTCCTGGGTACAGTGCAGCTGTTCATTTTATCACAAAAGCTTGTTCTTCAGCAGGTCAAATGTTCTTCTGCTGCACCCAGCAGGGTCATAATTACATGTAGCGTGCATGACTCAGCACTCCGACCAGGCCTAAAGGGAAGTCACACTGTTAATGCATGACGACTTCATACATAAAGTGCTGCAAGTCCACAAGCAATCAGTTAAGATCATTAAACTGTGCTTTGTAAGATAAATCATTGTAAAAATGTTATCTTCTTATAAATGTATAAATACCTTGTGGAAAAAAGATATAAAGAAAAAATACGATATAAAAAGTACCAACAAAAAAAAAGAAATGAACCCTGGGTGCATAGGTGTATTGCCCTAAAAACACTTGGTTAAGGGATCTTTGATTGGATTTCAGCTTTCATTCCATCAAGTCCTGCCTCTCTGCTTTGCAAAACTCCTGCCGTTCTTCCAGAGTGTAGGATATCTTCTTTACAGCTCTCTTTATATCATGTGACCCACAGAAATAAAACTAAATGAAGGTTAGTTCAAAATGTAGCTTTTTTTCCAAGCAGGCCATTCTTTTCTTGGTTGGGATGCATGAAACTCAGTGACGCTGGTAAAAATAAAACCTCTCTTTGTCTTCAGTTTCCATGCAGAAAAAAAATCAATACTGTGGATCAAACCTGACCAATATTTGAACTTGTTCTAAACATTAAAAACCCTTCATAAAGAGTTCCTGCCGGTCCTTAAGTGTTTCCATCCTTCTATTACATTAAATCTAATTAATTGTTGTATTTTGTTAAGAATTTTTTTTAAAGAATAAAATCCCTTTGTTTTCCAGTTTTTTCCTTATCTCTTGTTTTGTTGTTGTATTTATATAAACTGGTCCCTTGACAGGAATGTATATATGATCCTTTATATATGATCCTTTCATAGTTATGTACTCTCTCTTCAAACTTTGCTTTTGCTTGAAAATGCCAATGTGGAAATGTCAAGAAAATGTGACTGCAAAGTTCAACTTTAGCTAATTTTACTAAAACTTATGGAAGGCAATTAAAGGAGCCTTCGTGCTGCAAATTAATCAAGTGATCCCTAGCTATGAAGCCAGGATATTTGACTTTTTATGATTTAATGATTGTGTGCCACATAAAAATGGCATTATATAAATATGTTTCTAAATAGAATCCAGAGTTGTCAAAGAAACAGAGAATTTTGTTATGTTTTCATAATTTATTCGACAACAGTTCACCTAATGAGGTCCAAAGCAAAGCTTTCAGCCCAACTTGGAGAGGAGAGCAAATGGAGATTGGCCAAATGAAAGCTGCTATTATCCTGTCTGCTTGCTGCATTCAAGGCTGTTTCCTGCTAAAGAGGCAAAGCCAAACCTCCTACTGCTCTATTTGTCTCCTGTACCTAATTTCCTTTATCCTCCAACAAACAGTCCCAGTATTGTTTCACAGGAGATAATTTGTCATTCAAAAACAGCCTAGTCAATGACTTACTGTAGGTGTAAAACACATCAAGTACATTCAACACATGGTTTTGTGGGAGACACATAGAAAATAAACTAGCAAAATGTAATAACAAGAAAGTATAGACATATAATAGACAGATTTTATTATTTCCAACTATTTCCAGTGATTTTTTTAAGTAACAGTCGCAACACTTTTTTCTCTTCTCTCAATTACCCTACACCAAGCATTTCTTTCTATATTAAACTTACATCTCTCTGCTAATTGCCAATACCATTTAAATATGATTACATGGGGGCATATATATATATATATATTTTTTTTTATTTAACCTTTTTTTAACCAGGGAAAAATCCCATTGAGATTAAAACCTCTTTTTCGAGGGAGTTTTGGCCAAGAATAAAAAACATATCAAGTAAAACAATTACAGATTGTTGAGGCTGCTTGAAATTCTTTCACTTTCAACTTAAAAGCATTTAAAGATAAAAACTCAGTCAATTTCCAGTTTTGCAAAATTAATAAAAAAATTTATATAAAAAAAAAAATCAAAATTCAAAATTAATTAAAAAAATCAAAAAGCAATTTTTCCTTTTGTTTTAGTGAGTGTATTCTCATATTGTTTATGCAACTTTAATAACAAAAAAAACTGATACACTGGGCTCTCAGAAAATTGCACATACACATCCTAAAAGGAAACATGAAAATTTAAAAACGTTTTAAACAACTTACTAAACAACCTAAATTAACATGGCACACACAACATATATCAAAAGGCATATATCAAAAGGCAGTTTTGAAATAAAAGAAAAAATGTTTTTAAATTATTTTAAGGGCACAGACATCCTAAAAACCTGTTAAACATTTTTTAAATATACTTTTTTTAATTGGACATATGTACGAATGTTGCAAATGTCCCCAGAAGATGTCTTTTATTTAATTTACTGAGAAGGACTTGATAGCTTTTACCTTTTTTGGTATGTAAGTGGAAATTAGAGGCAATGAAACATAAAGAGAGTTGTGGGGGAGGAGATAAAAAGTAAAGCAGGAGAAGAGGGATAATGCAGAAAGTAGGGAGTGACGTGCTTCCAGGGAGAATCTAAATTCAAACAATAACGTATTAAAGTGAAACAATGGGAATAAGAAATTATGCTGCAAGGTTCCTCAATTCTTGCTTTATAATTCCCAATTATCTGCACTTCCTTTTCAGCCTTTTCTCCTGCATCTTCTTTTTAAGCATCCCCCATCCCCCTCACCTCTTAAATTATTGATCAGTGCTATTTCACTCCCAGGCTGAAACAACTGCCTCATCTCAAAAGATGATCAGAGGAACCCCTGAGATCTGATTGCGGGGGAAATCCTGCTAAGACACGTCTCATGCCTAAAAAAACCCGAAAGGATTTTTTGCCTGAAGCAGATGTAAATGAAGTACAGCATTTTCTTGCCCCTCTCTGCATGAAAAAATATTGTAACCACTGAGAAAGCCTCAAGCTAATTTTATTAAGAAAAATATGTGTTTTTAGACTCAAACTGAACCAGTTCTCTCTTAATTTTTTGCAAAAATAATTCTTACTTTTCTGCTTTTATAAAAAGTAACCAAAACATTTATGCAGCACTATGGTAAGACTTTCAGTTATTTATTCATGTCTTTGTGTCGAAGATTTACATAATTTTGTCTTATATATATAACAGATTTACTGGGTCTAAATGTAAAGTAATTTGGGGCATTTTATAAAATATTAACTTTTGATTGTGCTTTACTCTGCTGTTTTGTATGTTGCATTTATACTGTAATGAAACGTGTATAATGTGCTACTGCACTTTCCCTTGGTGCCAGTTTAAGAACACAAAACAGGATTTGATTAGGGTAGGATTAGGGTAAGGTTTAGGACTCTATATGTAATCCATAAATGCCTCAATTGTTTACTGAAGTCTTATCCACTAAAGGGATGCATGTGATGCACAGACAAAGCTGATCTACAAAACAAACTCTCCTAGAATTGGATCTGATCTTTACACAATCGATTGTGTAACAACAGGTAACCCTATATACAGTATTTACCATCTTGCAAGGTTCAAACTCACAGAAATATTCATGGTTATTGTGACTCAAAGGTGCCATAAGTGCATTTCCAGATGAAGGAGAATCTTCCACGTATGTGCGTACGCTACTGCACTGTCAGAAATGGAAAGAATGAAGACATGTTGTCTATTGAGCAAAGCTACTTCTGAGCTGCTACAAAAACAAAGGGCTGACTTTAAGCCAGTCTGAGGTAGAAGATATGCCATATTTCATATTCGAAAAACTCATTGTAACAATTTATTGCCTCTTGATGGATCATACCATCAAGAGGCACAATCACACACTGCAAAAAATCTAAATCTAGATAAGGTATTTTTCTTAAAATAAGTGCATTTGTTCTTGAATTGAGGAGGTAAAAGAGACATTTTGACAATGGAACAAGACAATTTACACTTAAAATAAGAAAACACAATTGCATTGTCTTATTTCAAGTCCATATTATCTAATTATCTTATTTTAAGAGTAAAATTACTCATTTAATTGGCAAACTATCTCATTTACCTGCTCAAATTAAGGGTAAATACACCTAATTTAAGAATTTTTTACTTATTTCTAGATCGTTTTTGCAGTGCAGTTAAAGTTGTATCCTCGGGTAGTTTTTGGGTTGTGGTATCAAGCAGTACTGGATTCATTTTTGAGGTAGGAGAGTCGTGGGGCTGTCCGGCTGCTTCTTATAAGACAAAAAACAACAGCTTTTGTGCAGCTGATGTTTGGTGAATCCCATATACCATTCTGGCCTGTTAGTATCTCAGAGTCATCTTAGAAACCATACCCTGATAATGATTTTCTTACTTCACACTAACAGCTGCTTTCACTTCCCCTCTGTCTTTATCTTGATACCAATAGACTTTAAATTAATGATATATTGGTGCATAGCTTCTAGTTAGATTCAGGAAACACTGACAAATGTCACTGAAATTAATTATTCAGAAAATAAGTCAAACTTTCCAGGCATCTGGGATACCTTATATTCTGTCTCAAAGCTAATATTGTGTTTCTTTTTTTTTTATCCGGCCCAACTTCCTCTGCCTGATTGCCCTCACCTGTCTCACCATATAATCTGACCTGCCAGGTTATAGGGCTAGTTAATGTGCAGCTTCAAATCCCAGAGACAGGAATGTGAGCCTCTGACTGTTTGGTTAGTGAAGCAGATAAAAGTGGCCTTGTTGTCACTCATGTAGCCTCTGTATTTTCAGGGGCTGTGCTTCGGTGGCCTGGAGGATTGGCGGCAAATATACACAAGCCTCTCTGTGGCACAATAAGTCCTTTCAGATAAAACTGTGTCACAGCACTCTCTGCGACTGGTAGAGCAGAATACTTAAAGTACACAGAGATGGTCAAAACTGAAAAATGTTGCAGCTTTATGGAAAGTTTCACGATTGAAAAGTCCATGTGATTTCGTTCTTGTTTATAAATGTTTTATAGATGCCATGGCATCTTCTCTTTACCGGTTTTTCTGTCACTTACGTCTCTTCTCGCTGATGTGCAGCAGGCTGGCAGTGTGGCCTGACAAGCTGCCCTCTCCCTCCCCTGGATGGTGCTGGAACAGCTCCTTGGATAGATCACCTGAGCTGGATGGCTTCAGCAGCTTCTGGATGTCTTTGTTGGGCTCTAGCATAGGGAGGGAGGGGAAGCAAAGTTATCAAACTATATAATCATAATCTTTTTAATAAAAATATATTAGACAATTTTTCTTTCAGGTTTATCACTTATTATTAAACTGAAACTAAGTTTTCAGCCCATTTTAGCCAATTTGTAAAGCATATGTAAAGGGAACATTTTGTGTTCTTTGCATGCCTAGATCCAACATAGTCAAGATTCTGAGCTGAGGGTTTTAGAAGATATCAGCTTCCACAATTATACCTTAATTAAAAACATTAAAATTTTAAATAAAGTTTGTACTACTAAGATTGTACTACAATTATCATACAACAATGGAAAAAACAGTTGGCATGCTTGACTGGGCACCCATACCAAGAGCCACAATCCCATATTTATGCCTTTCATGACATACAAAACACTTGCATTATGTTGACTTTTTGTTTTTATTTTTACAATAATAAAATATAGGAAACATAATATCTTAATGGCCCTAAAACCCTGGGGAAAAAAATCTGTGACCAAAATGCTGTTGGAAAGACAGAGGGATCGATGTAATAACTGGGAAGTGTTTCAACAAAAAACAGACTCTAATCACACAAGCACTGTGATTTATGGGACCATTTAGCATCAGTGTAGTACTGCATGAAAGTGCACAGAAATTTCAGAGGGAAAATGTCATCACTTTTACTTTCAACACTGTAGGTTCTTGTTAGTTATGTCTGACAAAAAGGAAGAAGAAACTATTTCATTTTAAAAGAATGGGCATTTTGCTATGACAGAGCTATGGTAAAAAACACTTAGGGATCAAATTAAAAACAAAAATCAGGCATATTTTGTCATTGCATTAATTGGATTATTGTACATAACATTATTGGCAATGCTGGATTGAACTGTCTGCTCAGCCGTTAATAACCAAAATGTGGTGAAACGCTTAAGAAAACTGTTGCGACATCACTGTGACACAATGATAATTTTATCATGATGATGGAGCATAAAGTCAGTTTTAGGCACTTTATTTTAAGCATGTGTTTCATCTTCAAACGTGACATTCATCAGGATCCAGCCACATTCATTACGCTCTACTGAAATGTTTGTTGAGCAAATAGTTAAAACATTTCTAACCTCCTTCACATGACCTATTAACAGGCTTTAAAGTCTCTAAATAGAAGGAACTTAAAATAGCACATTTTTCTTTTAGGAGTTAACACCTTGCAGAGGTCAAGCTTGATCAAGGTTAAGACATCAAATGTTTGACAGCTAAAAACAAAGGTTGCATTAGGGTGCTACGCAATCTATAGATATATAGGAATGTGGACAGTTGCTTAAACAGCATTTAAAGATAGCACAATAATATAAAAAAATCAGAAATCACTGCTTCAGTTTTAAATGAAAAATGATCAGACCTTAAGGACTGTTGCAATGGAGTGTGGGAGTGCAGCAGATGGGCCTCTCCAGATGGCAGCCACCATTCCTACAGTCAGTATATATTCAAATTTTTTGAATTTCTGGAAAGAGATAACTGAATGCATAACTGCCTGTGTTAGGAGGAACCTTCTCTGATATCCCTCAGAGAAACCATTGGGAATCACTGGGTATCGATTTATTTCTCCACTGAGGAGCCACAGCCTGAAAGGCTTCAGCTTAACCTCTGTGGTTGGAATGAAATGTTTATTCAATATTTAGACACCAGAATGGGTTTCAGTTTACAAAGCATCCAATCTAACCACGCAGCTATCCATAAAAAGCTGCATTATGGTTAACGAAAAAGGATTATTGAATTAGAATATACTTATGAATATGTCAGTGATGAATTAAAGCGATGTCCAAGCATTACACTGTTTAGGAAATACTTAAAGTGGTTGATGTTATAAATAAATATCAGTTGGAAGAAGGAATGTGAACATTTTGTTGGCGGTTGTACATAGGTCTATATATATTTTCACAATTGTTGTGGCTGTGAAAGCTGTTGATAACAGTTGTATGAATGAAGATGTGTGTTGGCAAACATGGATGTGAATTTGTAGGTTTATATGTACATACATTAATTTATTTACTCTATTAGTTGACGTTGGACTAATATGGACTCATAACTAAAGCAGGAATGGGAATGACTTTGTTAAGGACTATAGGAAGAAGTGGTATGATTAGATAAGTTTCAAATCCTCATCCCCCTTGCAGACATAAACATGAAATTATGTACACAATCTTATTATTTACACATGTATTATTAATTATACATAATATACATGTTCAAACGTAATTTTCTGCCTGAAATGAAGCTTTTCTGACTTCTGCATCGTTCATGACTAACTATCTATTGTTTAATAACTAACTATCTATTGTTTAATGGCATTCCAACACATCCAGTGTTCAAACCTACACTGGTTTTAAATGATTTAGGCCTTCAGGCATAACATAGCAATTGTTACAGAGACAGTGAGATTAGGGCTAAACAATTAATCTGATTTAATTGTGATTTATCGATTATTGAGATACTTGTCAATTAATTTAGTAATTGAATAATAACTTACTAGAGAATAGAGACTCTAAAACATGCCTTTTGCTAACAGAGAAATCCACTGAGAGCAGTAATTATACCAAGATTGTAAAAAAAAATATATAAACATTTAGCATTTATGATGAAAAAAACATTTCCGTCTGGCAAAATGCTCTATCCAGAACACTTGAAGTGTTGGGGAGTGTTAGCCTAGTGGGTTAGAGCAGTGCGCTTATGCTCTGAGAAGGTTGCAAGTATCTGGTTTGATCCCCACGCCTGCACTCTGGGTTCCTGAGCAAGACCCTTAATCCCACAATGTTTCCTGGTTGCTGCACAGTGGCGGCCAACTGCTCCCCAACGGGAATGGGTCAAATGCAAAGAGTTCCTTTCTCCTTTCTCTGTGAGATCAATAAAGTTCTATTTCTATCATTTTTTTTATTTTTTTCAAGTGGAAAAGTTAGTTTCACATGGTTTGATTTGGTATAAAGTCTTCTTAAAAGAATATTTGGCTATCTGATTGTTAATTGAAAAAAATATCGACAGATTAATCGTTTTGCAAAATAATCGTCAGTTGCAGCCCTAATTGAGATAGTCCCAATATCATCTGCAAAAAGCGAAAGAGAAGTTTATTTAGCTTATCCAGCCACCAGCAGATGAAGAAGCTTGAGTGTTGTGTTGGTGTCGTACAAATAAAAACAAAGCTGGCTTTCATATGTGTGTCTTTCTCTGCAAATGACTTTGTTGGTCTACTGCTGCTGTCCCTGCAAAAAGCTAATCCAGAACATATTATGGAACAAGAACAGATGTATGCGGGTGGGGGATAATGATCTAGAGTGGGATTCTTTCCTGGGGATAAGTTGAATTTCGCCTTGGATTAACAGATCAACTGTAGGACAAGAAGGACAAATAAACATACCCCATGGTGCCATACTGGGAAGGATTTTTTTTCCTGTATTCTCAATGTACATATATATTTATTTGTTTGCCTTTGTGTTTGATTATGTAAAGCATAACCCAGCAAATATACTTCATGTAACTGTCAGAAATGTTTAAAAAGTAAATTTTTAGTCATAGTCAGAAATGTTTCTGCCAATTTCACCAAATTAAATGATAAACTACAAGAGATCATCTGATAATCGGCCTTTAAGACATATTCACTTTAGGATGCAAGCATTAGTGAAAGCCTTTCTTAAGAAAGTAAAGGCCACATGGCAAAGCAAATATACTACATCCTACGAGGAATTATAAACGTTATTCACAAAAAAATAGTTACAAAACACTAAAAGGCATAGTGGAGGATTTTCGAGATTTTTTTATAAGACCTGCACTCTCCACTTAAAAAAAAAATGCACATGCACAACCCTGTACCCATTCCCTAGAGGGAAGTCTATTAAACCCGTGCAAGAGCATGCTCAAGCCCATTTCTCCTGGTGCACGCTCTGTTTAAGACTTGCTGTTTGCATTACTCATACAAGCTTACATATTGTAAGCTATGTTTGGTTTAAAGTACAGTCCCTTTATACAATTTTAGAATTTTATTTTATTGGGTTAACACAATGTTGAAAAGCCTCAAGAGGGACTATAAATGCTCATAGGTCCATTTAAACACAATAATGACTTTGTAACATTTGCTGCTAACTCCAGTTGCTTGTGAATGGCTACTGAACAATTAGACATTTTTGTGCATACCACACCTATTTGTTGCACCAGTTGTGTAGCCACTTTTAACTTTTAGATTTTTATACTTGTTTTAGATATTTGTTTTAGAAATTCTAATTGCAGTGTGGTTCAAATAATTTTTTCCCGAAAAATATGTACAGTTAATGTCAGCAATCCTACATGTTCTTAATGAGGGATGATTTACGGAGCAAGAATGTTCAGTTGTTCAAAACAATAATTTTGGTGCTACGTTTTATTTTTATTCCATAAATAAAAACTCAGTTCACTGGAAATCTTCCTTTTATTCATCACATCTTGATGGGCGTGTCACTGAGTGCTCATATGCTATCTATAACAAACATATGCTACACACATATGCATTTGTAAACTAATCACTTTTAATTGTATTTCTTTGCAAAAGCCTCAATAAAGCTTAACTCAGTAGCACCACAGTACCTCCTTCTCTGGATGGCTTTTACACAAAGACCATTCTATTGTTCAACCATTTGTGTTTCAGCAGTCCGGCTTTTGCATGGTTGACCTCCAGTAAGCTGATTTCAAAAGAACATACAATTAAACTGTGTGAATAGACAAAAATACATTCATTGTAAAGAAATAACAACAACTGATCAACTCTTCAAGAGTTGCTTAAGATCATAGACCTAAAAGAGAAACTCACACAGTGTAAATGAGAGTGTAAAAAAAGAATTTAAGATATTTTTAACCCAAGTCTCACGAAGTGGGATGGATAGAATAGGATTTTGTGCCAACCCTGTTCACGGATGTGATATCAAATAGAAAGAAGAGGAAAATGGCTCTTACCTGGCCTCCCTGCCCCTCCCTGTGCCTCCATGCAGCTCTTCAGCTTCTCACCACACCAGCATTGGGGAGAGGAGGACACAAATGGGGAAGGGGGATGTATGCAAGTGAGTGTGCATAGGAGAGAATAAAGAGGGGGGTGGTGGAGGTGGGTGGACACAGAGAGACCTAGGTTCTGAAATGACTCTGTTTCACCCTTTTTTCTTTTTTTTCTACAGCTGTTAGAATTGTTCCAAACAGGAGATGTGCAGTTCCTCCTCCAGCTCAGTCCACCTGTCCCACTCTTCCATCAGAGCAATGTGAAGTCTGCACTGCAGACAAGGAAGTCTGAAAACAGCAACATCACACCAGATTTATCAGCCACTCGCTTTGGGAAACGCAGCATTGTGAGGTTTGGCTCTGTGCAGAAAACACAGAAAGATCCAGAGCTAAGAGGGGAGAGAAACAGAAAAAGGGGAGGGCTGGGCTGGCACACAGCCCAGACTGCAAGAGAGAGAGAGAGAGTGGGGGGGTCAGGGAGGGCTGTGGACCACTGGAGATGAGAAGCTGGTTCTTAGGGTGTGAGTATAGACATGTGTGAGGGTGGCACACAAATCCATAATTCAAGGCAAAATGACACACCCAGTCTTGTCAGATAGTAGTGTATGGAATACAGGAAATTAAGACATGACATTTAGATGACAGTAAAGCACGATTCACTGCAACAAAGGTGGTTTTATAAAGGGGTTAAAAAAATCCCACACCTTTAGATAAGAAGGAAATGGTGCCTCCCTATTCCTAGTTAAATTGGCTGTTACAGCCTGCCCCCTACTGGACGAATAATGCAATTTCACAATGTCTACAGCATAAGGGTTTATTTATCAACCTCTTTGAATAAAGCCAGAAAGATTTGGAGGAAGTTTTCTTTGTAGGAAAAAATGGAGCATTAGTCAAGTTTTTTTTCAGTTCAAAATAGAGAAACTGGTATAATGGATATTAGATGGTTTAATTAGTCAAGCACATTTTTTGTAAAGCAGATGAGTGATGTGAGAGCTTTTATTTCCAACTTTTTTTGTGTGTGTTTGTGTTATCTGCTTTTTACCTCTTTCTGGGGCTAGTTTTAAATACCAATCTTTTTCAGATCAAGGTAATGTTTTCAGTCTTTATTGGAGTTGTGCCCTTAAGTTTACAAATTAAGAGATGCCTGACTGTAATTTTTGCCAAGCACAAAAAATATTCAAGTTAGTTCAACACTTTTTACAATATGGCTGACTGAGAACACCACTGCCTGGTTTTAATTATTTGCTCTAAAGCTCATCCTGTGTAAAAAAAAATTATCAAAAACTAAGGAAAAGTGTGGTGACTAAAGTTTAATGGAAAAGCAAAAGAAACATTTCATAGTGTAATAATCTAAGTCTTTTTTTTTTTTTTAGCAAATGTGAATAATTTTTTTTTACTTAGACATGAGCCTTAAACACTCATGCAGGACAAAGTAAGAATGTTATTTGTTGTTAGTTTTTTTATACAATGTATGTAAATATTTGGTTTCAACATTATTTATTCAATTCTAATTTTCATTCAGGCTTTGTGCACCCAAATAACAATGTCTTTTTGATTTTTTTAAACAACAAATATGCAGTCTTAAAATACTGTTAGGTCATGCATGTTTAATACAATGAATGTATAGATTCCTGTATGATTTAGAAAGCCTCACATTGAAATTTTCATGGTTTTTAATTTTCTCTCACCACTGACCAGATTTTTGTTGTTATTTTATTAAGCTTAGTTATGCGCTCCAAGGTGGCTCCATATATCCAGTCATTTAAAAAGTAGTAAAAACAAATTCTACATATTAGTTAAAAACAAAATGTTATATATTTGATTAAATGTAGGGTTGCTTTCTATAGCTATGACAACCAATTTCCAAGGCTCCCTACTGTCTTGTCAAATTACCTGATACCCCACATACAGTCAGAGATGCTTATTCAATAAGAATGGCATTACTTTATAATAATATGACTAAAGTAGAAGATAAAAGCATGTTGCAGTAGAACTACTCCTAAAACAATGTAATTATTTCCCTTCTTACCTCTCCCGGTGTTACTTCATATAACGTCAATGTTATTGGGAAATATTAAGGTATGGAGCTCACAGATGCTTAAAAGTCGACTTCGCGCTTTACAAAAACTGTCCTTTACAGGCCGCCGTAGCAGCGATAAACATTGACAAGCAGCTGTTTCTACATGTTAATGCTCACGTGGAGGATTTCCCAGCGCAGTTCAGTGTTGAAGCATCAGTCCTTTTCTAACACAAAACAACATCATGGAAGCTGTCATCAAAATAAACCCAGGTAAGAGGATCGATCGTCCAGTTTTATCTGCTTTAAAATGTAGCTAAGAGCAACACTCGCTGATGTAGCTCTGCTGCACGGTCATACTTTTCCTAAACCCTGTTTCTTCTTATTCTAACGTGCAGGAGCGTCGAAGTGGGACATCCGCCAGAAAGTTTGGGACTTCATAGAAGAAAAGAACCTAGCTAACTTTCCCAGGCCTGTTCACAACAGAATCCCAAACTTTAAGGCAGGTTCGGACTGAGGAAGAACCACCGTGTATTTTATTAGTAGTTCTGACGTCACTATTCAATTTGATTCTTATTTCTTTGGTTGGGTTTGTATATCTTGTCCTGCGAGTTCGGCTTGTGGGCTATTTCGGGTCTCTGGGGTCATTATTTTTTTGGGACACTAAAAATAGCATTGAGCAACTGTTTTCCTCCGTTTTCTTAGGGGAGATACTTTACAGCCGGATCACTGCCACTAAAGCAGATCTTATAGATTTAAAATTACCCCCTGGAATACATTTAATCCCCTCTTTTTTTCTTTGTGCTCCACGGTCATTTTCTGCTGGCTGGCATGTTAAAAATAATTTGCACTTAGGAGGCTGCTATGATATTCATACCCCTTAGTTTTACCCCTTAGTCCATAATATAGAAGTATAATGAGGGTTTTAATATTGAGGATCAACAAAAATCTGTCAGTTGTGAAGGGAAACGACATTGAAAAAGGCTAAAAATGGAGAAGTGCACCAGCATCTTATTGATAATACTATGGAAGCCTGCAGAAGACTTGGCATAGGTACAGAAAAGCATCTTCCATTTTAAAATCTAGATCTAAATCCAATAGATTATGGTTTATTATTTAAAAACATTTTTGGAATGAAAATGTACATTTTAAGATATTTTTGCATAAAAAACAGATTCCCTTTTTTTTTTTTTTTTACAAATTTTATTTCGAAAGAGCAGAGAGGGGTTTTTACTAAGTACATTTATCTACACATCATTTTTTTTATAAAACACAAAAAAACAGATAAACTGCCATATTATTTACCATTAACTTCACATCCATCCAGTATTTTGATGTGGTCTATGACATAAAATCCTAATAAAATAAAATCAAGTTGGTTCTTAATGTGTTAAACTAAGCACTACTTTCACATGTTGCTGTAGCTACTTTATCTTGTTTTATGTCTACTTATATCAGGTTACGACATGGTAAATTATAACCTGTTTCTCGTCTGAATAAGAGATTGTCAGAAGTATGAACATAGCTACATAGATGTGGAAAAATATATAGTACAACTTTTCAGCAGTACTGTTTCTCATGTTCCTTAAAACCCAATGGAAAATATTTATTTATAATGCATAGTTTGAATTTCAAACCTTTAAAAAAATATAGGTATATGATTTTTTTGTAATCTTACTCGATACTTCAGGTTGCAGGTTTTTCCTTTGTTACAGTCCTACTCCATTTATCTGAGCCTTCAAATCTTTTTCTTAAAGTACACAAATACTGCTGCTCCTTCATAAGTTCTTGTTCTGCTGTTGGTGTTATATTGATTATTATGGATACATTCAAACAGGGGCTCTTCTAAAATACGTAGGGACCCAGCATTAAGATCCACTGATTTAGATGTTGAGCTGTTTGAAAAATGCTGTGCATAGATAAGTAAATAATATCAATATTCAGATGAATAGCAGTTGTAGTTATAGCAGTAGCTTAAATCAGATGTTACTATATCTGAAAGTTTCGCTGCATAGTTCTTGTGGTTTAAATTTTTTTTCATTGCGTTTTTTTTGGTCAGGGAGCAAATCAGGCCTGCAACAGGCTTGCAGAGCTGCAGGAGTTTAAATCCAGCCAGACAGTGAAAGTAAACCCAGACAGACCCCAGCAGCAGGCTCGCTTTGTCACACTGGAAGTAAGTTGAACCAAAAGCAAGAAAGAAACCCCATGTATTGCTGTCTTTCCTCTACAGGGGGCCTTCGGAGCCTGCGGCAAAGTGGCAGAATTGCAGGCTTTCGCCCAGACAGCTGAGGTGAAAGTGGATCCTGACAAACCTCTGGAGGGTGCTCGGTTTGCAGTGCTGCAGGTAGCACTGCATTGCTGGAAGAAAGGCACCAAAAAACACTGATGTGCAGAGATACATGTTTTAGAATCTGTCATTTTTGCAGGAAAAAACAAAATCCTTTCTAAAATGTAAAACATTAAATGAAACACAATCATAAATGTTTTTGTTTTTATCTGATTGTTATTTTCATCATCACTTAGCATATCTTATACATCACTGTTATGTCTTTTTAAATAATTCCTGATCTATTGCTCTTCATTGGTTGGCATCATCCTCACAGGCACAAAAAACTTTGTTGGTTCCAACTCCTCGTCTTCGCTCTGGTCTCTTCAATAAGATCACTCCCCCGCAGGGTGCCAACAAGGAGCAGCTGCGTGTTTGTTGTTCTTCTCAGGTTTGAAAGCTGTTTCATACCCCGACAATAACCATGAGTCCCAGACAGATCAAGAGATTTTAATCAGTCTTTTGGATCCCCTACAGGGTGTAAAGGACTTTAGTGTTCCTGTTGGCCTGGATGCAACAGTGAAGGTGGACCTGGTGGTTGTTGGCTCTGTGGCAGTTTCTGAGAAAGGTTTGTTCATTTTACCAAAGAAAAAAGGTGTTTTTTTTTTTTTTATTAACACATTTTCTTCAAAGCTTAAAATGTAGATATGTTTTCATTGATTTATTTCAAGTTAAGTAAATCTGATGATAAAAATTGTATTCTTTTAATTATTTTGTAAAACAATGTCCTATCTATTTAAACCTCCCTTTGCAAAACATCTTTGCTTGTGTGCACCACCTTCAGGCTGCCGGATTGGAAAGGGGGAGGGCTTTGCAGATATGGAGTGGGCCATGATGGCTTCCATGGGAGCTGTGAATGAATCCACCGTGGTCGTCACTGTTGTCCATGACTGCCAGGTTAGTTTTTGCCCAATTTCCTGGCAAGTAACAACTGCTTCATTAAAGATTTTATTATCCATCGTCCAGTTATAAGCTAATGGTATCTATGCATGTCTGTTTCAGGTGGTAGATATTCCAGAGGAGCTCATGGGGAGTCATGACCTAACAGTCG